GTCCAGGCTGGAGTGCAGTGGCGCAATCTCAGCTCACTGCAACCTCTGCCTCCCAGGTCCTGGCTCAAGCAGTTCTCCTGCCTCAACCTCCGGAGTAGCTGGGATTACAGGCACGCATCACCATGCCCAGCTGATTTTTGTATTGTAGTAGAGATGGGGTTTCACCATGTCGGCCAGGCTGGTCTTGAACTCCTGACCTCATGATCCGTCCACCTCAGCCTCCCAAAGTGCTGGGATTACAGGCATGAGCCACCGCAGCCACAATTTTTACATTTTACATAGAGACCGAGTCTCGCTATGTTGTCCAGGCTGGTCTTGAATTCCTGAGCTCAAGTGATCCTCCTGCCTCAGCCTCCCCAAGTGCTGGGATTACAGCAGTGAGCCACCATGCCCCACCGTCCGCTCTCTTAAACCTCCCGTTGCTAACAGATGTGAACTTGTTCACAAGAGCCTGTGCCCCATTCCTTTGAACTTGGGCTGTTAAGAGAGAGGAAATTCCCTAACCCCTGGGTCAAATGCTTTTCCCTCCCATCTGGAAGCTTTGCTTGGGAAGAGCAGCGCATTGTAGCTACAGAGCCTGGGTCCAGCCTGAAGGCCCTTTCAGTAACAGTCCTCATCGAGGAGGCAGTAGGTGATTAGCAACAAGCCCATAGAAGTGCTGACCCCCCTCTCTCCCCACCTCAGGGCTCCCAGTTTGTGGAGTGGGCCTCGGCAGGAAACCTCAAGCCAGTGTGGGTGAGCAGGGGCTGTCCGCGGGCCTGGGACCAGGAGGCCGAGGGGGCAGGCCCCGAGCTGGGGCTTCGAGCGGCGCGGACCAAGGCCCTGTGGCTGCCCATGGGGGACTGATGCCTGAGCACTAGCCACTGCATTTTGGATGTCTTGGACCAAGGGGAGATGGATCCCCACATACCCCTGGGACTTCCCCCTTCTGTTTCCTGTGCCTTCCAATAAACTCTCTGACCAGCCCTAGCTGTGTTTCTGCAGGAAGAAAGGGAGTCGTAGCCAGGCATGGTGGCATATGCCTGTAATCCCAGCACTTTGGGAGAAGGAGGTGGGCACCTGAGGTCGGGAGTTTGAGACCAGCCTGACCAACATGGAGAAACCCTGTCTCTACTAAAAATACAAAAAATTAGCCAGGTGTGGTGGCGCGTGCCTGTAATCCCAGCTACTCAGGAGGCTGAGGCAGGAGAATCGCTTGAACCCAGGAGATGGAGGTTGCAGTGAGCCAAGATCACGCCATTGCACTCCAGCCTGGGTAACAAGAGTGAAACTCCCTCTCGGAAAAAAAAAAAAAATCCAGGGCTAGAGTGACACCTAGCCAGGCCCAATGTGACAAGATGCATCCTGAATCCTGTGTGCCAAGCCTTGGCGGGGCAAAGTTGGGGCCCAAAGGATGGCCAGACACAGCAACTCCTAAATCTCGGAGACAGATCCCCGTTCCAGCCCCAGCTCACCACGCACTGAGTGCACGTGACACCCAGGGAGTCAGCCCCACCACCGTCTCCGCCACTGGGCGTCCGGGAACGCGCCTTCTGTGGCGTGAGCAGCCGCTTGTCACCACCAGGGGGCGCGCTCTGCCTGGGCCCAGATTCCACTACTTCTGTCTCCCCACAAAAATTTCCTTTCACTTTCGGTCTCTGGATGTCACCCGGCTTGGCCCCTTCCACCCAGCTGGGGCAAGCCTGGTGCGTGGGGAGACTTGGACTCTAGGTTCCCCAAGGGGTGGAGCCAAGGTCCCTACTCCTGGGGCAGAGGGAGCAGAGGATGGGGGGCTGGGTTCCTGGGTCCCTAACCCAGGGAGGGTTCTGGGGACCAGACGTCGGGGTTCTTGGAAGTGGAGATGAAGAGTTTTCACCGTAACTGGTGCAGACGCAGGAAGCCTGGGGGAGGAAGTGGGGGAAACTTGGCCACATCAAAGTCATACAGGAGAGGTGGGGAGGCGCAGGGGCGGGCAGGGCAGGGGTTGGGGCATGGGGGTCCGAGACTTGTTCTTCTGTCCCTTCCAAGACCCGGCCGCAGGAGGCATGAGGGTCCCCCGGCCGAGATGACAGTGCTGGTGCCAGCCTGGAGTCCAACAGTGCGTAAAACCCAGAAAAGGTTGGGGGAGAGACAGGGGAGGTACCATGTCAGGATGAGGCAGAGGTGTGGGGAGACAGACAGGAGGGGAGCTGGACAGAGAAGGGGGAGACGGAGAGGAGGGGAGATGGACAGAGGAGGGGGAGACGGACAGGAGGGGAGCTGGGCAGAGGAGGGGGAGATGGAGAGGAAGGGAGATGGAGAGGAGGGGAGATGGACAGAGGAGGGGAGATGGACAGAGGAGGGGAGATGGAGAGGAGGGGAGATGGAGAGGAGGGGAGATGGACAGAGGAGGGGCAGATTGACAGTGAATTGGAAGATGGACAGGAGTGGGGGCTGGACAGAGGAGCATGATGGCGGACAGAGCCGGGAACGAATGAATAGGACGTGAATCAAGATAGAGGCACGCGACAGGGGTGTAGAAGGCGGAGGGAGGGACAGCGCTGGAGGAACCCGGGCGAGGAGAGCAGTCGTGAGAATGAAGCGGTGGGAGAAGGACGGCCATCGTTGGGGAGATGGGGAGAGAGAGGGGTGCGGCAGAGGAGGATCAAACTGGACTGCGCTGGACCAGAGGCAGAGAGAAACGGGGGAAGGAGGGACAGAGATGGGGCCAGGTCTCTAGAAAGTATGGAAACGGTTTAAGGACACGGTGGGGAGTGGGGGGGGAAGGAGGAGCACGGAAGACAGAACAGCCCAGGTGGGAAGCCCGGAGGAGGAGGCTGTGTGTGGAACAGCGGAGGGCTCCCCCAGCGCCCCCTCCCCTGCAGACTCGTCTCCTGCTGCTGCTGCTGCTGAGCTCAGAACTCAGTGAGACCCAGGACTGCTCCTTCCAGCTCAGCCCCATCTCCTCCGACTTCGCTGTCAAAATCCGTGAGCTGGTGAGCAGCGCTGCCCCGACCCCCTCATGGGATCTCTCTCCATTTTTTTTAAAGTAGAGATGGGGTCTCTCTCCCTGTGTTGCCCAGGGTGGTCTCGATCTCCTGGGCTCAAGCGATCCTCCCACCTCGGCCTCCCAAAGTGCTGGAATTACAGGCGTGAGCCACTGTGCTGGGAGGTGTCGCCCTTTCTTGAGGTCAAGGTTCTGTGGCTTCTTCTGGGTTCCCCCTCTCTGAGTCTTGTCCATCCCCCCTCTGGATCTCTGCTGCCACCTCTGGGTCCCCACAGTTCTGTTTCCCGCTGTCTTCAGCCAGGCCTGACCCTGTTTTCTCCCACAGTCTGACTACTTGCTTCAAGATTATCCGGTCACCGTGGCCTCCAATCTTCAGGACGTGAGTCACGTTGGGAGGGACCTAGGGTGGAGGTGGGGACCACAGATTCAAGATGCCCCACCCAGGCGAGTGCATAACCTGGCACTCCCCTCCGCAAAGCCAGGAATCAGAGTCCCCTGCCCCTCCTCCTTCAGACCCGTGGGTTTTCCCCCTAGGAGGAGCTCTGCGGCGCCCTCTGGCGGCTGGTCCTGGCACAGCGCTGGATGGAGCGCCTCAAGACTGTGGCTGGGTCCAAGATGCGAGGCTTGCTGGAGCGCGTGAACACAGAGATACACTTTGTCACCAAATGTGCCTTTCAGGTCGGCCCTGAACTTAGAGGACAAGTGAGGGGGAGGGAGATGCCTTCCTAGGCATTGGAAGTAAAGCCACCCAAGGAATGTGGAGCCAGAACCCAATCCCCTGCAGAGCCCGGTTCCTGCAGAAAAACATGTCCCTAGAAACCGGCCATCGGAGGGCTCTGCTCCCATTTTGGGGGCCAGGTTTCCTAGGCCATGATGAAGTGTGCCACTGAGGGGTTCTTCCCCCCAAAAGAAAACAGGGGAGAAGGGGTCTGTAAACTCTGAGGAGGCCGGGCTCTGTGGCTCACACCTGTAATCCCAGCACTTTGGGAGGCAGAGGTGGGTGGATCACCTGAGGTCGGGAGTTCGAGACCAGCCTAACCAACATGGGGAAACCCCATATTTTAGTATCTACTAAAAATATAAAAACTTAGCCAGGCGTGGTGGCGCATGCCTGTAATCCTCAGCTACTCAGGAAACTGAGGTAGGAGAATCATTTGAAGCCGGGAGGCAGAGGTTGTGGTGAGCCGAGATCCACAACATTACACTACAGTCTGGACAACAAGAGCGAAACTCCATCTCAAAAATAATAATAATAATAATGGTAATCCCAGCACTTTGGGAGGCTGAGGTGGGTGGATCACAAGGTCAGGAGTTTGAGACCAGTCTGGCCAATATGGTGAAACCCCTTCTCTACTAAAAATACGAAGGAAAAAAAAAGTTGGCCAGGCATGGTGGCAGGCACCTGTAGTCCCAGCCACTCAGGAGGCTGAGGCAGGAGAATTGCTTGAACTCAGGAGGCAGAGGTTGCAGTGAGCCGAGATCGTGCCACTGCACTCCAGCCTGGGCAATAGAGTGAGACTCTGTCTCAAATAATAATAATAATCATAAACTCTCTGTGAGAGCCAGAGCTCGCTGGGCTCTGCTGCTGGGCATCACCAGCAGGGAAGAGCCTTTGGCCTTTGGAGGGGGGGTGGGGGGATGATGTGGTGATGATGTCTCCCTCCCCTGCCCCCAGCCCCCCCGCAGCTGTCTTCGCTTCGTCCAGACCAACATCTCCCGCTTCCTGCAGGAGACCTCCGAGCAGCTGGTCGCTCTGAAGCCCTGGATCACTCGCCGGAATTTCTCCCGGTGCCTGGAGCTGCAGTGTCAGCCCGGTAAGGCTCCCAGCCACCCCCACTCCCTCACTGCAGTGTGTCCCAAACCCCACCCTGTTCACATTGGTGGTGACAAGGGCAAGCTTATTCCTCTTTCTGGACCTCAGTTTACCTTTTTCTTTTTTCTGAGACGGAGTCTTGCTCTGTCACCCAGGCTGGAGTGCAGTGGCGCAATCTCGGCTCACTGCAACCTCCGCCTCCTGGGTTCAAGCGATTCTCCTGTCTCAGCCTCCCAAGTAGCTGGGATTACAGGCCTGCACCACCATGCCCAGCTAACTTTATACTTTTAGTAGAGACGGGGTTTCGCCATGTTGGCCAGGCTGGTCTCGAATTCCTGACCTCAAGTGATCCACCCGCCTTGGCGTCCCAAAGTGCTGGGATTATAGGCATGAGCCACCGTACCCCACCTGTTCACTCATTTAATTTGTGACAGCCTGACAAAGTAGGTACAATGATTATCCTACTTTTACAGATAAGCAAACTGAGGCACAGAGAGGCCAAGGAGCCCATCTGAGGTCACACAGCCAGCACCAGCCAGGCCTCTCTTTCCCTTCTTACCCCATCCCTTCTCCTTGGTCACCTAGCCTCCTCTTTCTCCCCAGACTCCTCGACCCTGCCACCCCCACAGAGTCCTGGGGCCCTGGAGGCCACGGCGCCAACAGCCCCGCCATCCCCTCTGCTCTTCCTGCTGCTGCTACCCACGGGCCTCCTGCTGCTGGCCGCTGCCTGGTGCCTACACTGGCAGAGGACACGGCAGAGGATGCCCCGTGCTGGGGAGCAGGTGAGCAGGGTGGGCAGAGGGGGCAGGGGGGGCTGAGAGGGTGGCCTACCTGTGGCTGACACTTTGGGGGCCACAGGTGCCCCCCGTCCCCAGTCCCCAGGACCTGCTGCTTATGGAGCACTGACCCAGCCGGGGCTTCATCCTGGTGAGTCCTTCACAGGCTGTGGAGCCAGGACTTTGTGTCTGCAGGTGGGGAGGGGCACTGGAGGCATGGAGGGTGGCGAGCAGTGGAAGGGCAGAGGCAGCCCTGGGTGCAGAAAGATCGCCCTGGAGCTGGGCATGGTGGCTCCTGCCTCTAATCTCAGCACTTTGGGAGGCTGAGGTGGGCAGATCACTTGAGGTCAGGAGTTCAAGACCAGCCTGACCAACATGGCAAAACCCAGTCTCTACTAAAAATATAAAAATTAGGCTGGGCGCGGTGGCTCAAGCCTGTAATCCCAGCACTTTGGGAGGCCGAGGCGGGTGGATCACGAGGTCAAGAGATCGAGACCATCCTGGTCAACATGGTGAAACCCTGTCTGTACTAAAAATACAAAAAAAAATTAGCTGGGCATGGTGGCACGTGCCTGTAATCCCAGCTACTCAGGAGGCTGAGGCAGGAGAATTGCCTAAACCCGGGAGGCGGAGGTTGCAGTGGGCCGAGATCGCGCCATTGCACTCCAGCCTGGGTAACAAGAGCGAAACTCCGTCTCAAAAAAAAAAAAAAAAAATTAGCTGGGTGTGATGACACATGCCTGTAATCCTAGCTAGTTGGGAGGCAGAGGCAGGAGAATCTCTTGAACCCAGGAGGCAGACGTTGCAGTGAGCAGAGATCCCACCATTGCACCCTAGCCTGGGCGACAGAAGGAGACTCCGTCTCAAAAAAAAAACAAAAAAGAGGGCCAGGCGTGGTGGCTCACACCTGTAATCCCAGAACTTTGGGAGGCCAGAGTGAGCAGATCATGTCAGGAGTTCGAGACCAGCCTGGCCAACAAGATAAAACCCCGTTGCTACTGAAGAAACAAAAAATTAGCTGGGTGTGGTGGTGGATGCCTGTGATCCCAGCTACTTGGGAGGCTGAGGCAGGAGAATTGCTTTAACCCGGGAGGCGGAGGTTGCAGTGAGCCGAGATCACACCCTTGCACCTCAGCCTGGGTGACACGGCAAGACTCCGTCTCAAAAAAAAAAAAGAGGCCGGGCGCGGTGGCTCAAGCCTGTAATCCCAGCACTTTGGGATGCCGAGACAGGTGGATCACGAGGTCAAGAGATTGATACCATCCTGGTCAACATGGTGAAACCCCGTCTCTACTAAAAATATAAAAATTAGCTGGTCATGGTGGCGCGTGCCTGTAGTCCCAGCTACTCGGGAGGCTGAGGCAGGAGAATTGCTTGAACTTAGGAGACAGAGGTTGTGGTGAGCCAAGATTGCGCCATTGCACTCCAGCCTGGGTAACAAGAGTGAAACTCCATCTCAAAAAAGAAAGAAAGAAAGAAAGAAAGAAAGAAAGACCCAGTCAGGCATGGTGGCTCATACCTGTAGTCCCAGCACTTTGGGAGGCCGAGGTGGGCAGATCACGAGGTCAAGAGATTGAGACCACCCTGGCCAACTTGGCAAAACACTGTTTCTGCAAAAAATACAAAAATTAGCCGGGTGTGGTGGTGCCCATCTGTAGTCCCAGCTACTCGGGAGGCTGAGGCGGGAGAATTGCTTGAACCCAGGAGGCGGAGATTGCAGTGAGCCAAGATTGAGCCACTGCACTCCAGCCTGGGAGACAGCACGAGACTCCATCTCAAAAAAAAAAAAAAAAAGACCCTTCTGGGGCCATCATGGAGAGGGACTGGAGACCAAGCTGGAGGCTGTGGGAGGGCTCAGGGGGAGGACCATGCGTGAGCCAGGCTGGGACCAGGGGATGGAGTGGAGTGCGTGGGGCAAAGAGTCAGGGGTCAGAGATCAGGAGGGACAGGGCTGGGGCCTGACAGGCTTGAATTGGCGCAGACAGCCTGGGTCTGGCCCAGTGATGGGTGGACGGGGGTGGGGACCTGGGGGAGGAGTGAGATTAGGGAACGACATTGAGCTCACTGAGGACCTGAAGGAGTTTGCAAGCCAGGACAGAGCAGCCTCCTGGGGCAGGAAGGGAATGGCATTCCAGAAAGAGGGAACTGCCTTTGCGAAGCCCTTTGGTATGAGAAAGCTCAGGGTGTTCCCGTAACTTGGGCCAGCATGGGGCAGCAAGGAGCCATGGGAGGTGTGAGAGGGAGAAGAGAAGCTGGGAACATTTCAAATCTAACATTTTGTAGCAATAGGTCACACATAGAGTGCCCTGGTAATGCAGGCGCCATACTGGGCTTTCTACAAATGAACTCACTTCCTTGAGAAGTTGTTACCATTGTGATCCCATTTCACTGAAACCAAGGCACAGAAAGGTAAATAATTTGCCAAAAGTCACACGGCTCAAGGGTGACGACCAAGATTTGACTCAAGGTTGTCTTTCTTTATTTTGAGACAGAGTCTCTCTCTGTCACCCAGGCTGGCGTGCGGTGACGCAGTCTCTGCTCACTGCAACCTCCACCTCCCGGATTCAAGCGATTCTCCTGCCTGAGCCTCTGGAGTAGCTGGGATTACAGGCACCTGCCACCACGCCCAGCTAATTTTTTATATTTTTAGTAGAGACTGGTTTGTTTTTTTTTTCTTTTTTTTTTTAAGACAGAGTCTCACACTATTGCTCAGGCTGGAGTGCAATGGCATGATCTCTGCTTACCGCAACCTCCACCTCCCAGGTTCAAGCAATTCTTCTGCTTCAGCCTCCTGAGTAGCTGGGACTACAGGCAGGCACCACCACTCCTGGCTAATTTTTGCATTTTTAGTAGAAACAGGGTTTGACCATGTTGGCCAAGCCGGTCTCAAACTCCACACCTCATTATCTGCCCACTGCGACCTCCCGAAGTGCTGGGATTACAGGCATGAGCCACCACGCCCGGCCAGTAATTGATACTAATGTTATTGTATTTCACCCAGCACGGTGGCTCACACCTATAACTCCTAGGCAGATCTCTTGAGCCTAGGACTTCAAGACCAGCTTGGGTAATGTGGTGAAACCCTGCCTCTACTAAAAATATAAAAATTAGCCGGGCTTGGTAATACCTGTAATCCCAGCTACTCAGGAGGCTGAGGCAGGAAGAATCACTTGAACCCAGGAGGCAGTGGCGGCAGTGAGCCACGATCATGCCACTGCACTCCAGCCTGGGCGACGGAGCAAGGCTGTCTCAAAAGAAGTTCGAGTCCAGCCTCGAACTGCTGGACTCAAGTGATCCTCCTGCCTCAACCTCCCGAGAGTGAACCGGCCCCATCTCAAGTGTTCACTGTTCACATGCGGCTGGTTACTCCCATATTAAAGAGCAAAAATAGAGAACATTTCTATCATGGCCAGGTTCTCTTGAACAGCCATGCCCTGGCACACAGTCAGCGCTTGCTGTGACTGGAGTTGTTTTGGGCATGAGTCTGTGCCCCGCCCTGAGCTAAGTACTTTCCCTCTCCTTTGCCCAGGGATCCTTTTTTGTTTTTTAAGACTGAGTCTTGCTCTGTCACCCAAGGCTGGAGTGCAATGGTGTGATTTCTGCTCACTGGAACTTTCACCTGCTGGGTTCAAGCAATTCTTCTGCCTCGGCCTCTCAAGTAGCTGGGACTACAGGTGCGCCACTAAGCCTGGCTAATATTTTGTATTTTTAGTAAAGATGGGGTTTCACCATGCTGGCCAGGCTGGTCTTGAACTCCTGACATCGTGATCTGCCCACCTAAGCCTCCCAAAGTGCTGGGATTACAGGCATGAGCCTCTGTGCCCGGACTGTGGATCCTTAAAGAACCTGGTGAGACAGATGCATCTATCATACCATTTTACAGGGGAGGACACGGAGGTACACAGAGGGGAGTCACCAGCCAGAGAATGCACAGCTCGGACACAGAGGAAGTTGGCTAGAGGATGGTCCCTTCCTTGGGCCCGATGCCCCTCTCGCTTCCTCCCCAGGATGGAGGCAACGCCAGAACCCAGCACCGGCCCCATTTACCCAACTCTGTACAAAGCCGTTGTCCCCATGAAATGTATATAAATCATCCTTTTCTACCAGCTGTGGCCAGGTCTGTTGCGGATGGGTGTGGATGGGGTAGTTTTGATTTCAGTCTTGGTTTTTCAGTTGCAATGCAACGTTTCATTCAATGGGTGTTTTCTGAGGTCTCCTGGAGCCCCAGGTCAGGACTGGTTAATGCTAGAGCCCGGATTTGAGTCACAACCAGCCCAGTCGCCCCAGGTCTCTTAGACTATGGAGGAGAAGACAAGGGACTCAGTGTGCCTGGGTGCAGGATGCCACAGGCTCCTGTGGAGATAGCATAGAGGCAGTGTGGGAGCCCAGGGGTGTAAGGGGCAACTAACCCAGGCTGGGAGATCAGAGAGGCTTTCCAGAGCCAAAGGGCACTGCAATGGTGAAAAGCCAGATTTGGAGGGGTTGGGGAGGGCATCCTGGGCAAGGGACCCAGCAAAGGCCAACAGTCCAGAAAGTGAGAAGTTTCTCTGAGGAATGCTCAGTGGATTGGTGCAGCCAGGCATCTAGAAGCCATTCCTTCACTCACTCCTAGATCCCCTGGAGAAGACCACTTCCACCTGTTTTACAGATGGAGAAACTGAGGCCCAGATAAGGCCAGGGATTTGTCCAGGTCAGAGTGAAGTTGACCAGACACCGGAATCCAAATCTCTAAGCCTAGAATGGGCAGGGCACCGGGGCTCATGCCAGTAATGCCAGCACTTTGAGAGGCCCAGATGGGAAGATCGCTTGAGCCCAGGAGTTCGAGACCAGCCTGGCCAACATGGCAAGACTCCCCACCGCCCCCGTCCCAGCCTTGACAAAACAAACAAACAAACAAACAAACAAATATATATATATATATTAGCCAGGCGTAGTGGCGCGCCCCTGTAGTCCCAGTTACTCGAGAGGCTGAGGCAGAAGGATCCCTTGAGACTGGGAAGTCGAGGCTGCGGTGGGCCATGATCGCCCCACTGCACTCTGACCTGGATGACAGAGCGAGACCCTGTCTTAGAAAATAAAGTAAGTTTGGACTAAGCGTGGAAGGGCGGGCCTGGGGGGGTCTGGTCTCCCCCCTGCGGGCCACCAGAGGCCCTGCAGCCTTCAGTCGATTGAAGAGGTAGTGGCGCTTCCCCTTACAAACATGGCAGACAGAGCGCGTGAACGAGATTTACAGCTCCTCAAACACACGGCCGCCGAAGCTGGACGGCCACGCCCCAGCAGCACCGCCTCCACAACCCACGTGATCTATTGCAGGGCCCAGCTCTGGTCGCGGAGGTCCGACCGGAAGTATATCTGGATTGGACAATTGAAAGATAACCCGCCTTCCGTGGGGCATCTCTGCGCGCGCGCACAGCGCTTTGACCAATCACCACACAGAAAGCTGTTTGCGCGGCCCACGTTGCGTCACTTCTGCCGCCCCTGTTTTAAGGGATAAGAAACCCTGCGACAAGATCTCCTCCTTTTCCGGGCGGCTCCCGAAGATGGCGGAGGTGCAGGTGCGCGCTCCGCGCGGGCCGGGGCGGCATGGGACCGGGTGGGATTCAGGCTGGAACGGGGTCGCACCCTCTCGGTTCTGCTACCTATGTTGCGGAGTTTAATATCCACAGTTAAGCAAAATGGAAATCTTTTGGGGTAAGGGGAAAATGTAGAAAAGGACGAGGCTCTCTAGGTCTAGAGTTGGCTACAATGCGGCATTTTTTTCTCGAGGCGAGGGTGATGGAGCTCCCAGTACAGGACAGATTACTTTACAACTAGACCTCGCTTATCTTGAACTTGGGTAGTGGGTGGGGGCCCCGGGGTCAAGTCTTGGCCGAATTGGACCCTTGTGTGTCCTCAGCGATGGGGAACACGCGAAAGTCTGGCCGGGCGGTTTCGGGGCCGTGAGAAACTGAGGATTGCCCAAAATGGGAGGTATTTCCATCGTTCCCAGTGCGCAGGCTGCTTTGATCTCACGTGGAGGTGTTAATCGGGGTCCCCTGCAGCTCTGGTTGTTTTAATGCTCAATACTTTTCTGCGGGGGGTCGAGAGAGCTGTTGCCTGCCGGGCACTCAGGAATGAACTCGTTTTCTTTCGTTTGGGGAATTGGCGATTGTCCTGGGGCTTGTTGGCTTCTGGAAGTCGAGAGCTGTGATAAATGGTTCCACAAGGATGGGACATCTTTGCCTGCAGACCACCCGGGGGCCCTTTTCCTATTCCTTGTGTAATTAAGTATAAAGTGGAGGTTGGCCCTGGAAAGGTTTCCTTGTGAATAGTCTGGGTGTTGGGGGCGGAATTTCTGAGCCAGGCTGATCTAAGCAAATGGTGGTGTCCACCGAACGTGTGTCTAGTTTGCATTGTTTCGTATAGTTAATGATATTTCTGAGGCAGATATTGTTAACCTTATTTGACAGGTGAGGGATTCAAAACTTGGGAATTGGTGAGTTTGGGCCAAGGTCAGGACTTCGGGAAGTCTGGATTCAGATTATTTGTGTATATCTGTATTGCATTTCAACACTTAGAAAGGACGTGCAACAAAAAATATATGCTTAGTGATTTTGCATTATAACAATAAAGATGTCTACTCTGGGATTTTTGATTTTTTTTTTTTTTTTTTTTTTTTTGAGACGGAGTTTCGGTCTTGTTGCCCAGGCTGGAGTGCAATGGCGCCATCTCGGCTCACCGCAACCTCCGCCTCCTGGGTTCAGGCAATTCTCCTGCCTCAGCCTCCTGAGTAGCTGGGATTACAGGCACGTGCCACCATGCCCAGCTAATGTTTTTGTATTTTTAGTAGAGACGGGGTTTCACCATGTTGACCAGGATGGTCTCGATCTCTTGACCTCGTGATCCACCCGCCTCGGCCTCCCAAAGTGCTGGGATTACAGGCGTGAGCCACCGCGCCCAGCCTACTCTGGGATTTTCTTTTTTTGTTTTTCCGAGACGGAGTTGCCTTGGCTCCCAGGCTGGAGTGCAATGGCAGGATCTTGGCTCATTGCAACCTCTGCTCAGGTTCAAGTGACTCTCCGGCGTCACCCTCCCGAGTAGCTGGGACTACAGATGGCCGCCGTGATGCTCGGCTGATTTTTGTGTTTTTAGCAGATGAGATTTCACCATATTGGCCTCAAGTGATCCGCCCGCCTAGGCCTCCCAAAGTGCTGGGATTACAGGTGTGAGCCGCGGTGCCTGAGCAGTTTACCTGGGCAAGGAGAGTGATGCAGTAGCAGAGCTAGCATGGGTTTTTGCCTGCTCTGCCTAACCTCATCCCACCTGAAGTTCGGTTTTCTTCCAAATGAAATTTGGTAGAAACACCCTATACATCAGAGAATAGATTCTGTTAATATTCTACAATTGATTGGGCATGGTGGCTCAAGCCTGTAATCCCAGCATCTTGGAAGGCTGAGGCAGGCGGATTGCTTGAGGCCACAAGTACAAGATTAGCCTAGGCAGCATGGCAAAACCTTGACTGAAGAAAAAAAGTACAAAAATTACATGGGAGGCTGATGCTGGTGGATCACCTGAGGTCAGGAGTTCGAGACCAGCCTGGCCAACATGACGAAATCCCGCCTCTACTGAAAACACAAAAATTAGCTAGGCATGGTGGTGGGAGCCTGTAAGCCAAGCTTCAGGGGAGGGGGAGGTTGGGCAACAAGCATGAAACTCCATCTCTTTTTTTTCTTTCTTTTTAAAATTTTATTCTATTCTCACCCATTTCAAGTCTGAGAAATTCCATCTCAAAAAAAAAAAGCTGCGTGTGGTGGCAGTGCGCCTGTGGCCCCAGCTACTCAAGACGCTGAGGTGGGGGGGACAGCTGGATCTGGGAGGTTGACCGCCTGTGCAACAGCAAGATGCTGTCTCAAAACCAAAATCCTGCAGTTCGTTATAAGGTCTTATAAGTGGATAATCAGTGGGCAGAGCCTTGCTGGTCTTCATTGAAGTCCTTGTTCATCCTCTTGCTTTGCAAAATACAGTCTGAGCGTAAAAAAAAATCATAGAAGACCTGAGATATGAGAGGAGTTTGGGCGTTTACACTGCTCACGCACTGATCGTGAAGCAGCCTTGTTTTCTCAGCCCTTTTCCTCATCTGTAGAGTGGGCCTCTGTGCAGTTCCCAGCTGTGATGGCTGGGTTCAAGGTAGGACAAAAGAAGGGAATGCTTGCTTGAGGACAAAAAAAGACTGTCCTTGTCTCCCACAGGTCCTGGTGCTTGATGGCCGAGGCCATCTCCTGGGCCGCCTGGCAGCCATCGTGGCTAAGCAGGTACTGCTGGGTAAGTTGCCCCCCAGAGTCCCCCTGTGGAGACCCCACTGGCGGTCGGTGATGAGCAACATTCACCATCTTTCGTTTGAGTCTCACGGCCATGAGATCAACCCCATGCACCGCTCTGAGACCTGCCAGCAACTCTTCCCCAGGGCCAAGGGACTTGAAGCTCAGAAGTGATTTTTGCATTAGGCTAGCTTTTCCTTAAACATGAACTTGGCTCTGGCGAGCACTGCACTGTGTCTGGGGGTGCCTGCGCAGGCTGTGGTAGAGCCCTCAGCTCTTTGTGACCCTCTCCCTCCCTCTAGGCCGGAAGGTGGTGGTGGTTCGCTGCGAGGGCATCAACATTTCTGGCAATTTCTACAGAAACAAGTGTAAGTGACAGCCTGGGAGGAGCATTGGAGGGGGTCTCCCTGTGGGCTGCTGAGGCTCTGAAGGCAATTCCAGCAGTGGTAGGAGAAGCTATTTGGGGTTCCTGACGAGGTCCTTGGAAGTGGGAGTTTGGGGGGTGCTGGCAGACCGGGCAGGCCTCACACTCCGCTGTCTCACTAGTGAAGTACCTGGCTTTCCTCCGCAAGCGGATGAACACCAACCCTTCCCGAGGCCCCTACCACTTCCGGGCCCCCAGCCGCATCTTCTGGAGGACCGTGCGAGGTGAGTGGGGTTTGGGGACTGCAGATGGGGACAGGCAGGCGGCCGGTGATGAGGATTTCTCCCACTATGTTCGAGTTTCCCGACCATGAGATAATTCCACATGCACTACCATCTGAGGCCACCCATGGACCCGCCTCAGTGAGGAGGGTGGGCGTCCTTAG